AAAGTTGACAGCTAATAGATAGGACCAATTGCTAGTTCACATATCCACGATATTTTGAAAAACGAAGTTCCAGTTTTACATCATACAAAGGGGAACGGCAGATTTAGTACCGCATACTTTTTTTCGTTGTTTTGTTATAGAATTAATACCGATATTAAGGCAACTAAGCCATTAATTTTCATGTAAGTTTTATATTTTTAGAACTTGGGATTAGTTAATAATATCAATAAAAAGATTTTTATAAATAAACGTAATATAAGCATAAACTAAACGCAATGAGGGCTATCGCGTATGAATTCGCCGCTAGAGGCGCTACCGCTTGTGTAGAGTGAGGTCTCCGATATGTCAAATGTCACTGTTAGTAGTAGGTGGGCTACGCGTGTTTATTTATTTTAGAATAATATTGTGAATATATTGCAATTCCTGAGATTAATTATGGCCAATATGAGTTACGGGTCAATGAATGTCAGTGCTTTAAAAGCGGAGCTAAGAAAAAGAGGTGCAAAATTAAGTGGGTTGAAAGAACAGTTAATTCAGAGGTTAGTTTGTTTACTATTTACAAATACATTTTTGTCAAAATTATGCTTATTTACCGAGTTTACAGCAATGTTTTCTTTTTACAGACTTAAGGACTATGATAGAAATAATAATTTTAAGAGAAACATAGAAGATGAAATACTACAAAATGATTTGGCGTATATTGTTGAGTGGCCTTCAGACAGTTTGTATAGCAGTATAACATCGAAAAGTGTATCACCTAACTTGGATGTAGTGAATATTACCACTTACTTTTTAAAGGTTTACGAAGACAATGTGGGAATGACTGAGTATACTGCAGTTCACAAAAAAGGCTATAATATGATGATTAATAAATATTTAGTGGCTCTAGTGATATGTACACAAAATAATTTACTTTTTATAAAGATGTGGCACTGTACAATGGATGATTATGTTAGGAACAGTGTAATAAACTATTGCTCTTCAGAGAAAACTTCCTTTGGTATAAGCGGTGTGTTTGAAGTGGCTTTCTTGCATGGAATATCTAATGACCATGATTACCTTAAACTACTTAAAAATGGCTTCTGCGCCGAAGGTTGTGAGTTTTATTCTCACCAAGGACAAACATTTGTGTGATGAACATAGATGATTGTTCTGTGTTTTGTGTTTGTATGTATTTACATTTTAATTTTAGAAAATTAGTTTTAAATTATCTCTAGTATGTACCCGTAGTATCTCAAACTAGACAATGCTAATTTGGATGATTCTAATATGTATAAAAAAATGTAACTGTTAATAATCTTGTATTGTATGAAATATTTTCTAGAATTCTTATACAATGTTTTGAGCGATAATATATATAAATAATTTTGGATTTCTGTGCAGTTTCCCCACAATGGTATACGGTTAACGCTTGCCATGCAAAGGGTACTCTTAAATGTTGCTAAACCTGGGGACTGGGTTCTACTTACAACAAGGAGCCCTTTTCCTCTGCAACTTATTCACACAACAGATATACCATATAGCTATTTGGAAAGGGTTTTCTGTAACCAATTATTGTGTCTCAAGAACCATTCTCCAGCTTGGGTTGCTCAAATTCGATCAGGAATCTCGCTGTATCCTACCCATTATATTGTTTGTCTTTCTTTCATGCTTGAAAATGTTGGGCACAACTTATGTCTATCGATCTTAGTATTTAATTTGTATTTCATCAATACTAATTTTATATCCATGGCCGTCTCATGAAATAAATTATTTACAGATGTCATCCATGAATGAAGTTTACTAGGACAAAGCTCGAGATTTGAGCTTGCATGTACCAGAAGGACCACAAGAAAGATCCCAGCATAAGAATGTTGTGTTGCCCAATATAAAAATGTTCGCTTTCATGCGATATATACACTAGAAGTATCCCGAGAGAAAATAGATGGTTTAGGGAGAATACCAAATCTTGCTTCATGCTAAAATTAAGTCCTGCCATTTTTCCACTAAAACTTTGTATTTAGAGTGATTATATATAACTTTGTATTTATAGTGACATGTTTTGGCGGGACGCAATCAGAAATTATTGCTGTAACTGCATTGTAGATTTAACAGCAGTGGGATGCTACTCACATGCTATGAGTATTATTTGGTACCTAAGCCATGCTCACCATGAGGGTATTATTACCCGGCCTGCCCCCTTCTTAGATGAAGTTTTATTAAGAATTAATTGATTATAAGTACAATAAAATAAATGAACTTAAAAAACAAAATATTTTTATTTATCTACACTCAAAACCCCATCAGAACTTTATCATTATCAAATGTTGCAGTCCGCTGCTGTATATAGGTATCTCACAATGCTGAGAAGATACCGATCCTCATTTCAATCTACCTACTTAATGGTAGAACCACGCTGTAGCTATAATATAGTTGTAGCATGAATGACTGCTCGACCGGGAATAAACCATGCTCACACAGAATACTAGTGTAAAATAGCAGTTTAATACTGCTGTGTTTCGTATGGTGAGTGTACAGATCTGGAGACCCTTTTTCACTGGAAACGAGACAACGCATCTGAATTTTTATTCTAAATCGAGGATAAATGTAGATGTCCATGGGCCACATCATTCACTAACTCAGGTGGACTGTGTCGTTCGATTGTCACCCTTGTTCTATAAAAAAAGTACCCGGATGACCGAGCTTTGCTCGGTTTTTTTTAATTACATTTAGATACAAATTACATGAATAATATTTTTTTGATCTTACTGACATAATAGAAAAAAACTGAACTGGTTATTTGAATTAAAAAATCATGAGTGATTTTATCGTATTTTTTAAAAAATACTAAAAAAAGGGCTCGAAATAATAGATTTTCTCATAAAAGAAGGGAACTTGAAAAAAAAGGAAAAAAAGTCGGACCGAAGCGGGACGCGAACCAAGGCATTACGTTTTCGCGACCGCTCGATATCCACTTGAGCTATTACGATGATTAGCACAGTGTCAAAATTTACCTTCTTATATTGTAGCAGTTTTTCATTGCCCGAAAACAGCGGACAAAAAGACATTTTCTAAAAATAAATACTAGCTAGATCATTTATTGCCCCCGAAACTCACTGGACACAAAATTTTATGAAAATCGTTGGAGCCGTTTCCGAGATTCCGATTATATATATATATATATATATATATATATATATATATATATATATATATATATATATATATATATATATATGTATATATGTATATATAAATTGCTCGTTTAAAAGTATAGGATAACGGTTAGTAAAGCACTACAGAGTAGCGACAAGCAATATAGAATATTTACTTTATCACAAAAACAATGTTTATTTGTCTAGGAGAGGTTTTGGCCGTCGACGGATTGTTGGACAATTTGTCGCTCCTGTTTTGTTGCTTGAATAATGGTTTGAAGTAGATTTTGATTCTTAAAAGTGATGCGATTTTGTGAATTGTCTGCGCGTGTGAACTATTAGAGAAAAAACGACGAAACAAGTGGTTTGATGTTGATATAATCTGCCAAAAACTGTGACGCATCAGCATATTGTGGTGAAAAAAATATACAAAAACGAAGATTACGAAAGAAATAATAGGCTCAGGAGGTCAAGAACCCAAAGCCGTAAAGCCAGTTTAATAAAAAAAATTGTAACACTACATAATATTATATATTAGTCTATGGTCTATGTAGATAATCTTAAAAATTAAAACTGGTTATAATTTTCATCACACAAGTTCTAAAAATCTAAGAATCTAAAAGGGGGTTGTCTATCCTACTATCTGTCAATTAAAACCAAAAATATCCCACAACACGAAATTTTATTAGCGGTACGAAACTCCCATACAAGCTTGCCATTCTCCTTTACATTTTAAGAGCTAAATTGAAATATCATGTTTTCTATGCATCTGGCTCGATATAATTTTCACACGATAATTTTTTTTACAATTTTAAAAGCCACTTAAAACCGCACTGATGGTTTGATAGGTTTTAAAAAGTATTTACATACAAAAGCCTTCTAAGTCAACAGTGTAAAGCTGGTATAACAAATTTCATTGAGGTCGACTACCCTTTAAGAGATGAAAAAGAAGTGGCCGACCTTTGAGGGCTGTTAAGGAAGGAAACGAAACAGTGAAAAAAGAAGAGAGACGAAGATAATGTGCAAATAACGTATGAATAGATTTAGCACATATAACAGATTGGATCGGGAAGCGTTCATGGAATTTTGTACAAAAATCTTTGCATGAGGAAGATAGTCTCGCGTTGAATGCTGCACAACCTAACCAATGCTTAGAAGCAGGCCCGCATAGAATGGCGCCATGGCATGATTACCAAATTTAAATCAGGCTGGTTTCAGTTCTTTTACGATATTTAATCTAGGATTTATCAATTCAATACCAAAACGAGGAGCCATTCAATGGTTTGGCTGTTTCAAAATGAACCAAAGCCTACCATAGTAAAGTGATCGAGGAAGCCAGGCATGATTTTGATCTTTATTGTTTTTTTCTCTTCAAAGGGGTACGTAATATCAATTTCTTTACAAAATCTAAGTAACATCAATGATAAATTTATTATACTACCAAATACTTGCCAGACGTGTTGTGCTGTAAGCGACCGGACACGGGACTACGCGAACGAGTGATTTACCATGACAACGTGCCCGAGAACACAGCGCTTAATATGAAACACACGGGGGAGAGTTATTATAAATTATTTAATAATCAAAAACTTATACCATTGCGATATATTTTGTATGACAATAGTTTATATTTGGTTCACGCGTACTTTCAAGGTTTAAGCTAAAAACAAAGATAGATGGTGCCACGCCGCGAAAGTCGGTAATACAATTTGTCACTTTTACAAAATGAGCAAGTTTGATTCCCAGCCAAAACAGATTTTTTCCAAACATTATGACGTTGTTTTTCCTTTAATTTCAACAAAATCCATAAACATCTTAACGCATTGTTCTACATAATATTATAAATTTATATATTAAATTACTTACACATTTATCATCGTCCTCTTCTGAAGATGACGATGAAGATGATGAATCATCACATTTGTTTTTCTTTCTCTCGTTGCTCTGAAATAGAAAATATCGATATATAAGCATTCTTCATATCAAATAAAAGTTTTACGACAAAATTACAAAGAGATCACAGGCGGTAATTTATACATTGCATAATCTAGTCGTACAACGTTACTTGGAAGCTTTATAATTAAGTACACTAATTAATTACTATAACTTCTCGGAAAGCTTAAGGGTTTAGCTCTCTCATGACAAAGTTCAGTTTATAACCTAATGCTGAAAATGGGGTGCACGTAAATAAATTTTTAATATTTCTTAAGTTCAATCTTCAATATATCGCATTCAAATATGAATATATAAGTACTTAGATATGTATATGAAAAACACAATATGATGTTCTCGTATTTAAAATTAAACTCTTCATTTTTTAAATAATTACAATTTTAAATAATCATAGTACAAAGATAATATAAAATAAAATTTAAAAAAATATCAGTATATGTTTTTATAACCTAAAGAATAGAATAAAATATTTTTATTCAATATAGATTATTACATAATACTTATTGAATTTTCTTTTATTTATCACCTAGTTTGAAAAAACCAGCAAAAATAAGAGAATCATTATTATAGTAAAAATCATCTCATTCCCAGTGATTATTTTAATTCATGTATTCCTTAATTTCATTATAATGACCGGTTTTATTTCATATTTTTTTTAAACTTGATGATTATAAAAAGTAACAATAAAGAACAAAGGGTATTTATTGTCATTTAAATGAATTACTAATTCTGGGGAGTCTAGTAACTTGCATTTCAAGCATGTGTTTGTTCCTAGTATTTAAAGTATGAATATATTTGTTAAATTCAATTCAAATCTATCCTTTGTTCGTAATGAAACACTCTCCAATACTGTATTATTAATAAAAACTAGCGGTTATTATTTTCAGACTCAAAAATAAAATAGAAATAGAATAATAAGAAATCTTTTTAGTTATATTTTTATATAATTTTTATTTTTTCCGGTATTATAATCACAAATTATTAATCATTGTTTTTTTTACTTCGATTACTAGCCATGACATTTCACATATCAGTTAATTTTCGATTTTAATTTAAAAGTACTGAATAGTGGTGTGAGGCAGCTTGGCATCATCTTAACACACTTAGAAGGGCTCAAAGAGCGGTATTGAAGCGCTGCCTCGAAAACCGTTTCGCTACCCAACAAGAGATATTGGAAGAAATGCAACTCCTCTTGAGTTCTGAGCTCGTCTCAGTGTTCTGACACGTTAAAAAAGCATTTACAAGGTAAAATAAAATTATTTCAAGACGAAATTCGCTCAATATTATCAATTTTTATTTACCTTTTATTTAATTATTAAGTCGTCCCGGAAACGAATTTCGAGCAGCAGATTTATAAATTTATAGATAATATATAATTGTATTTGATAAGTAACGCATATTATATCCTTTGAAAAAAATGTCAAGGCTTGAAGAGCTAAAAATTTATTTTTAAAAGAAAAAACTCATTAATTTTACTTACAGAACTACTTTAAAAAAACTATTTCGCCCCCTTATACTCCCACAAAACTAACCCAGAATTATTTTCAATAGGTGCTACAAAATCCACAACAATCACATTTTTATCTATTTTTTACTAAATTTTTTCATAAATTTTATGTCATGACATGACATACATGACATTGTGACATTTTTATGACGAATCTTATAGTCTTATATGAACACATTGAGATAATTTGTACGAACGACCAGAACCTACAGTTAAAAATAATGTAGAAAAGTATTGATCTATCCAAAATCGCCTCAAACGTTCAAAGCGAAATTGAATACATTATTTATTTACGGGATCATGACAAAATAGATCAGAATTATAAGCTACTAAATGCAGCCGTTGGAAACATAAACAGGCGCTCGATGGCTCCCTGGCGCAATGGCTTACCAATGAGTTACGGCACTAAAGGCTGCGGGGTCGAATCCCACACCATACAAGTATTTGTATGTTAAAGTTAAATTAAAGTTACAACCTATATACGTCCCACTGCTGGGCACAGGCCACCCCTCATTTCTGAGTGTAGGCAAAGAAGTGTCCACCACGCTGCCCCAATGCGTGTTGACAAACTTCATATGTCTTCGATTTTTTTTCTTATTTCTCAGAAATACAGGTTTCCTCACGATGTTTTACATCACCGCCTAGCACGTGGTAAATCAGCACTTAAAATTGCAATTAACAATTTCATTGGTGCCGGCGGGGATCGAACCCGGTATGCTCGCGTACTGTGAAATTTACAGCGAGCGCTAACCATTTGAGCTACCACGGCTCTACAGTATTTATATGGCCTACAAATAATTTTACCGGGGTGGATGTATGCCCTTGTGCAAATGTATTTATATATATATATATATATATATATATATATATATATATATATATATATATATATATATATATATATATATATATATCACTTTATTGCTAATGATATTCTCAATCTTAGGGACGAGGACGAAAGAGGTTATCACTTGTTACGGTTTCTAGTATCTACCTAATTTAGAACGAATCAAAGGTCAATACGACGATCTAATTTATAACTGATAGGAGGTTAAATAATTTATCAAAAGGGTTTTTATGTATTAGAAATATAATCTAGGGTTGGCGTTATTTAACACCACCACTTAAGAAAATTCACTATCCCATCTTATTTGATGGGTGTCATAATTCAACTTAAATACATTTTTTATAATGAGATACATAACTTGATCATAATGAGGTGTGGTGAAAATCACAGGAAAAATTCATTTAAAGATAAATGAATTTTTCCTGTGATTTTCACCAAGAGCAAATCTGCAATATATATCAAAGCAAAAAGATCACAAAGTTATTCAATTTGCAAGAGCAAATCTGAATAACTTTGTGTTTCTTATAAGTTAAAACATTTCTGCGGTCCAATTATCACCATTAGACCTGACAAGAATAGAATCAATTTTAAAATTGTTATCATCATCATCATTACAGCCCTTCACAAGTCCACTGCTGAACATAGGCCTCCCCCAAGGTATGCCACAAAGCACTTTTTAAAATTTTAAAATTGTTATGTATATTAAATTTTATAGAGCAAGTATTAAAACTGCATTAAATGATTTCATAAAAAAGACACTTGATAAAAATGCGATTATTATAATATTAATAGTATAACCTACCTCACTGCTATCGTCGTCTTTGCATGATGAGTGATGGCTCTTCCTTCTGAAACCATATAACACAATAAATATATATAAAATCTGTACAGCAGCATCATTTTAGCGTTGAAACACTAATAAAAGTATTTTTATACTAAGCACCTTTACATTTTAACTATACTATAAATTAGTATGATATAAAGTGTTAAATCAAAATTGCGTCCGAAGATATAGTTTTTTTAAAATATGTTGTCTTTCTATTCCATCTCTGACACTGGAACATTGCATAGCGGAACGTTTTAGGAATGTCTTTTTTATTCCAAGTTTTTTTTTCTGTTAGACGGGCTCAGTGCATATATTTGCATACACCGGTACCCTGATGTACATATTCTTATACTATATTACTTTATAATTATATATTACTACTTAACATATTTTCTTATAGTTAATTACATTTTTTCTCTATATACTAGACTATTTACATATTTTTTCCTTCGTTTATTTTTTTCTTTTTGCTTTTTTATTTTTTTCTTTCTTTTCAATATTCTTTTTGCAAATACAACATACACAATCTTGCAAAATTTGCTTATTCTAAGTTCTTATATCTATCTTATTTCTACAACGTTCACTAAACATTCTTATTTCTTGGATCACATCAGGGCATCAGGGTCACATATGTATGCGGGATTATCTTTACATTTCCAAGGATATAGTTGTATTAGTTTGTCCTTTTAACTGTAAATGATTTTGGAGAGAGCTTTTCATACAATCTATATATCATGCGAATCTGACATGGGAGCGTATAAATTGAATGAATTAAAAAATATGTCTTTAACGTCTTTATTAATATTTGATCAATCTATCTATAATCTTTGTCAAAGTCCAACGCTGAACATAGGCTTCCACCACAGTCCTGAAATATGTTTGTTTCCTAAGATCTAATTATTAATAAGTTAATATGATTTTTTAACCGCAACAAAAAGGTCCACATACTATAACGTCTACAAATCTACACCTATATGTTTTATCCTAAATAGTTTAGAAAAAATCATATAGGAATAGAAAATAAAGTATTTATAATAAAATAAATAGGTTTAGTAATTTCACGTAATACAGATAAAATATTTTAATGTTTTACTTCTGACCGTCATCATCATAACATTACATTTCTATTGCTGACCGTGCGCCACTACCACAGATTGCCACAAAGCTTAGTCCTGGACCACCAGTATCCATTGACTCCCTGCACATTTCATCAGATCTATTTTAAGTTACGTTAAATCATAAGTTCCCACTTATGATTTAAATTAGTTTAAACTCATAAGTGGGAACACTTATTGTGACGGACGGGAAACTACGGAACCCTACACTGAACGTGGCCCGACACGCTCTTGGCCGGTTTTTCAAACTGCAACACACATATGTACATTTAGATCTTAAGTATATGTAACTTTTTATAATACGTTACTTTGTACCTAGTTTAGTCACAAATTACGTAAATTTACGCGTGTGATTGGAGAAACAAACAAATACTTTATCTATTTGTAAGAGTGAAATCCCGAGCTAAGCCTCACGCGCATTCCCAAAACCGGAAAGCTCAGTTGGAATTGTCAATTAACAATTTGATCGACGGTGAACTTATAAAAAAATTTACAAGGACATTTTCGTCTTGTCTATGTTCATTCTAAAAACCAACAATTCGAAAATATTTCTGTTAACATTGTGCATAGTTCTATTTATATTTAATGTTACTGGACTTTTTATATTATTACTGGTTATATATATATATAGTTGTATATGCTTATACATTAGTACTTGCCCTCAATATTAATGTGCTTGTCATCACATATTAGTGCGGAAAAATGATTAACCCGGTTTATAGTGAGCGTTACGTGATATTTTTTTCAAGTAGCCAATTGCCCAATTCCGTACCTCTACGCTTCGCTATCAAGATATACATTACATTTATTTACAATAAACCTTTTTGATTTATTTTGAATACCTATATAAAAAATATACCTAAATATAGAAAACCCTAATAAATGTAGTATGAATGGGGCTCTTTACTCTATTGTGGGAAGACAAAACATGTCAAAAAGGCACATATGATGATTCATAGCGCTGTGGTGGTCCCTACCTTAAGATGTGGTAAGTGGAAGTAGGGTATAACAGAAGAAGCATGAAAGTAAAATTAGTAGTGTAGATTACTATTATTTATTATTGTAGATTAATAAATGCGATCAATGTTAGGTAGTCACCAAGAAAAAAGTGCGATTTGCAAGAAGGTTTAGTAACCAGGTAAGAGAGAATAAGAAAAGAGTGATAAAGCAAAATTTATATATTACTATATTATAAATCATACTACTAATAATATAACACGTACACAGCAGAAAAGGAAAGACTATATAAGGAGTCATAGTGATGGGAATTTTTTTTCTTCGAAAATATTTGTTTTCAATATTTTCATGAAGTCTGCAATTTCATACTTAGGTAATCCCTTCAGTAGTTAGTAACAAAGTAAACTAAATTAGCAGCCTGTATACATCCCATTGCTGGGTATATGCCTACTCCCGTTTTTGAGACGATTATGGAAAAATTTGTACGCTACGTTGCTCCAATGCATGTTTGCCGGACTGCATTTCATTTGAAAGATTTTTATTCCTCAGAAATGCAGGTTTTCTGACGATGTTTTACTTTACCGCCGAGCTGGTCGTAAATGAGCACTTAAAATTGCAGTTTCGTGCCAGTGTGTATTCATTCCGAGTTACTCGAATCGATAGAAGCTAGAAAATTCCAGCTATACGCTCACCCTCCGAGCTACTACAACTCTTTTGTTATATTTGCTCAATGTCTGAATACATTTAACCAGCAATTAAATTTAAAAAAAATAACTTACCCGGAGGAACATGATCTAGCTTCTGTCAATGCTAAGAAGACAAGCAAACCCAAAGCTATTATTACGATTTTGTTCATTTTTAAATATTTTGACTGAAACAAACAATAAAAAAAATACAATTGAATAGAATTATAATTAAAAATAAAATGTTAAATGTAAGTTAATAATATTAGTTACCATTAATAATATAATATCGTAATAAAATCGTAATTGTTTATTTATTACTTACAAAAAATAAAACCAAAACAATACCACGACGCCTACTTGAACTGAGATGAAGATTTGGACTGACTTGGTATTATAATTTTCTCACACAAACAAATTCATGTAACTTGTTTGGGGTGAGACCGCACTGGTTAAGGTCGTTTGATAAGCCAGTTCTGCTTAAGAAATACAATAAAAATGCTGAAGTTATGATACCTGTTAAACACATTTATAACACAAAGTTATTTAGGGACAAACAGAAATCCACGGGTAATGTACGATGCTATTACAATATTATAATACATTATATTGATTTAGGACTATTATTTTTATATATATATATATAATCGTCATTATTATAACCATAAGCATATTTCTTCGTTAACTGTTGATTCTTCTTTCTTGGTAAGTATTCTGAGAATCGCTCTGCCAGGCTGTTGAAGGAGTGCACCTCGAAAAGAATATTATTATCATTACAGGTTCTCACAAGTCCACTGCTGAATACAGGCCTTCCCCAAGGAACGTCAAGTATGATCCTGAGTCACCTGCATTCATTAACTTCCTCTACCAGCTGTTATCCTATCGTTCTTTGAGCTATATGGTCGACACTTTGTCACTTCAGCTTACTTATTCGTTGGACTACGTCGGTTACTCTGGTTCTACTGCCGGCATCCTCATGTTTAAGTCTACCACGTTGCAAAACCTTGAGCACAGCCCTCTCTATAGTTCACTGAGCTTCCTGATGCGGCCAGCAGTGAAGGACCACGTTTTAAATCAATATGACAACACACACTGGTCTCATGATCTTGTTTTCAAGTTTTTAGGTATAGTTACTGAGGTACGAGGATATGAGTATGTGAAGTAAGATATGTAAACTTACTCCTTGACAACTTGGAGCTCCCAACAATCACCACCATAGTTATGACATAGATGGTAAACATAAGTTTTGCATATTAATTTTAAGACAATTTGAGTGGTACACATCTCGAAAGGTTACATCACAGGTTATGTGTACCTATTGTGTTTTTATTGGAATGTAGTGTAAGTAGCTAGCGCGGGCGGTGATCTTTACAGTGATTACGTCACTCGGGCGCATAGGGTATCCTTGAATTTACGGACGGTGTCGGACAGAAACTTTTTAAATTTTATGAAAGAAAATAGCGTTTTTTTTAAATTCATTGAATTTACGTTCTATAAGTGAAACCAAACCACTGGTTTCAAGGATAACGGTGTTCACACTAACACCCTGTATATATATATATATATATATATATATATATATATATATATATATATATATATATATATATAAACAATCAATATCCAATGATATCCCGGACGTCAGTCTGAGCGAGATTAGAATGGCTCTCCAGCACCTTAAAAACGGCAAGGCCCCAGGTGAGGATGGAATTACAGCGGAGCTTCTGAAAGCGGGTGGAACACCGGTACTTGAAATCCTTCAGAAGCTCTTCAATTCCGTCCTCCATGGTGGTGTAGCAAAACACACCGAAGCATAAATCACGCTATCGAAATTCCGAATCATAAACAGTATATATAGAACATCTCCGAACTATCACTCGGAGTGTTGGCCGCTCTCCGGGCAGAATACCTTGCCCGGCGGGAGATCTCCCCTTTTCCTTCCACGGCCACAGTGGCACTACTCCGGAGGCGTGGAGCAGAAGTGCGGTGGTCTTGTTCTTAGGCGACAACGCTCTCTTGAAGAACTACAGACCGATTTCCCTTCTGAGCCGCGTCTGCGTGCTGTTTTCAAGAGTCATTACGAATCGTCTCGCACGCAGACTCGACGACTTGCAGCCTCCCGACATACAAGACCGAAGACTACAATCTGTCACTTTGCCTAGCGTATGTGGACTATGAGAAAGCCTTTGATTCCGTCGAAATTTGGGCTGTGCTACAGTCCCTTCAGCGGTGCCAAGTTGACTGTCGGTGTATCGAAGTGCTGAAGTGTTTGTACAGTAGGGCTACGATGGCTATCCGAGTACAGAACCAGAGTTCAAAACCTATTCAACTGCAGAAAGGTGTAAGACAGGGTGACGTTATATCCCCGAAACTCTTCACCGCTGGGTTGGAAGACGTTTTCAAGCTACTGGACTGGAAAAGATACGGTATTAACATCAATAGCGAGTACATCACTCACCTTAGATTTGCCGACGATTTAGTCCTTATGGCAGAATAGCTGGAGGACCTTAGCACTATGCTCAATGACCTCAATGGCGTCTCCCAACGGATAGGTCTTAAGATGAACATGGACAAAACAAAGATCATGTTTAATATCCATGTCACCCCTATGCCGGTAGTTGTTGGGAGCACTATGCTCGAAGTTTTTGACGAGTACGTTTACCTGGGACAAATAGTCCGACTAGGTAAGTCCAACTTCGACCGAGAGGTCAATCGACGGATTCAACTCGACTGGGCAGCGTTCGGGAAATTACGACACATCTTCTCGTCAGGTATACTTCAATCTCTGAAAACTAAAGTGTACAACCAGTGCGTGTTACCAGTGATGACTTACAGATCTGACACGTGGTCCTTCACTGCTGGCCGTATGAGGACGCTCAAGGCCGTTCAGCGAGCTATGGAGAGAGCTATGCTCGGAGTTTCTCTGCGTGATAAACTCAGAAATGAGGACATCCGCAGTGAAACCAGAGTGACCGACATAGCCCAACGGATTAGTAAGCTGAAGTGGCAATGGACCAGCCATATAGCTCGAAGAACCGATAACCGATGGGGAAGAAAGGTTCTCGAATGGCAGCCTCGTACCGGTAGGCGTAGTGTAGGGCGACCCCCCCACTAGATGGAGTGACGACCTGGTAAGACATGCAGGAAGTCGATGGATGCAGGTGGCTCAGGACCGTGCTTTATGGCATTACTTGGAGGAGGCCTATGTTCAGCAGTGGACTTGTGAAGGGCTGTAATGATGATGATGATGATGATGATGATAACAATCAATTGCTGTCCGTTAGTCTCGCTAAAATTCAAAACGCTTCGAACGATTTCGATGATTTTTTGTGTGTATTTGAGTGGGTTCCTGGATTGACCAATTGGACCCGAGAGGTGGCGCTGTTGTCGAGATCCAGAAATCACCCGTGCAGAGCCGGGGCTGATCGTATATCGCATGAAGGCATAGTGAGGAAACGTTATCGTAATCTAATGTAATGTAATGGAAACTTAGGTAACTTTTTTTTTAATATCTCTATACCGATATAGCAATTGTGTTGAAGTGCTTATTATACGAATTTATGATTACATGGATGAGCGGTTGCCTGCATGAACGGAATTATGTGACAAACATGACGGATGACGCCAATGGGTCCTAGTTAGACATTTTTAACAGATTCTGCTGATAAGTGGCATACAATCATCTATTATGGCATAAGTCATATAGTATCATTGCTTCTTGTTGTGTACGTCTTTGAGAAAGTTTTAGAATGTTTTATATTTTTTAAAATCATCATACGATAAGTAAGTCTCAAAACATCTTTAACGTATAGTCCGTAGGAATTTATTTTTGGAAAGTTTCAACGGCTTTAACTTATTTAATATACAACGGATTCCAAATGGGTAAGACGTATTCTAGTTGAAACCGTATTAATTTTCTATAAATATATAGAAATGTGGAAGGTTCAATATGTTTTCTATTTATACGCATAACAAAACCGTAAATTTAAAAAGATTTATTATCTTATCTATGTGTAAGACGAGATGTAACTTACTGTCTAATGTGACTCCAATATCTCCGACAAAATTAACATTTCAAGATGTGTACCACTAAAATTGTCTTAAAATTAACATGCAAAGCTTATGTTTACCATTTATGTCATAACTATGGTGGTGGTTGTTGGGAGCTCCAAGTTGTTGAGGATTATGTTCAAATGTCTTACGTCACACACTTATAGCCTCCTACTTCATTAACTATACCTAAAAATGATTTCTTAAATTTACGCGGACTTACGGAACTGACGGATTTTATCGCGTTTAATCAACTATTTTAACCTAGTTTTAATTCCCAACGTTTCGGATGCTTTACAGACTGAGATGTTTGACGTCTCAATGTCATAGTTAGTCCGACTACCTTCGGTTTTTAAATATTAATTTTTGGTCCGATTTACGCAAAATGAGCTTACAGTATCATGAAGTCTTGCAGTGGTATGTTTGGGTTTGGGTTCAATTATAGGATCCCAAGCAGATGATCCATCTTCTCTATTGAAATTAGGATGTTTATTAATTTCAGTAGCCTCGCGTATCACCCTTGGTAGGAATCGGTGTTCTTTCTAATCGGGACAATCTTGAGCATGTTCGCAGACTGCAGATTTCCCGGAGCGTCGGTGCTTCACGTCAGCTATATGCTTATAGGGAGGGCTGTGGTCGAGGTTCTGCAACGTGGTAAACTTAAAAATGAGGATATCGGCAGTAGAACCAGAGTAACCGACGTAGAGTGCGTGCGTGCGTGCGTGCGTGCGACCGTGCGAGCGTGCGTGCGTGCGTGCGTGCGATTTGCATGTGTGCGTGCGTGCGTGCGTGCGTGCGTGCGTGCGTGCGTGCGTGCGTGCGTGCGTGTGTGCGTGCGTGCGTGCGTGCGTGCGTGCGTGCGTGCGTGCGTGCGTGCGTGCGTGCGTGCGTGCGTGAGTGCGTGCGTGCATGCGTGCCTGCGGGGGTGCGTGCGTGCGTGCGTGCGTGTGTTCGTGCGTGCGTGCGTGCGTGCATGCGTGCGTGCGTGCGTGCGTGCGTGCGTGCGTGCGTGCGTGTGTGTGTGTGTGTGTGTGTGTGTGTGTGTGTGTGTGTGCGTGTGTGTGTTACCAAGGTGCAGCTAGTGTTATTGGAGCCACGGATATATGCAGAAGGAGTCCTATGGTACTGTAAATATGGGGCGAAGGTAATCACGTCGTCAATAGTCGGTACGAGTCCGACATAATCCGGACTTGCCTTAGCATTCGTAGATATGAAAAAAGGTAACTTAGCCCAAATTACCACATATTATGGATGATTAAATACGCACGGAAGCAAGAATTGGAATTTAACGTAGGACTATCTTATACCTTCGTTGTTTAATTATTCAATCAACATAATAATAAAGCAGGTATGATTGGTTATTTTAATCTCTACTCTCCCTGACTGAGAACTAAATCTTGTAACAAGCTTTATCACCAACTTTCTAATGTTGTAAATCAGTAGTACATACTAAATTAGATAAATAATTAATAAATTAGATAAACAATAACACAAGGAATTCAAACGGTATAAACGGTCAGCCAAATGCTTTCCGCATTATAAGTATTATTCGATAAATGTTTCATAGTCAGCAAGAAAACAAGCTCCTTACACAAATAGAAGGGATTTTAATATTCTTAAGTAGTGATGATACTGGTCCGCTCTCTATAAAGGACTTGCAAAGTAATCCGCAGAAGGCGCCGGGCTATCTCGCAAATCTGCTTGGGTCATCTCAACCTTTTCAAATAAATAGGGTTCGTGAAATAATTTAAAAAACATTAAATTTCTTTACCGAAATAGTATAAATGACGATTCTATACTTTTTTGTTATTTAAAAAATTAAGTTATGCGATTATGGCAAGCTTTAACAAATTTTAATACACCTATTTATTATTATTAATGGTCTAATGAGTTAAATTTATTATAGGAACGTGAACAATAAGAATGTTATTTATTCTTTACAAATAATTAATAAAAATGGAAATAATAAAAATTTGGTGAAATGCTCGTGTATATTTACTCTATATTTACCTGCGGCTTTATCTATACTTACCATCCTTAAAATGGAATGATATTCATACATCAGATTCTATTTTAATTAAGCAATAAAACCGAAGATTGATGCTTGCTGGCAACAATGAAATTTTTAATTTCAATTTTAAGTGCTGATTTATCACGATATTGGCGGTGAAAAAAAAGGTCGTGTCTGAGTGTCTACGAAACAAACATTACGAGGACTGGTAACATCCTCCAATATACACTTGAGCAGCATGGTGGTCTAAAGTTAAAAGTTACAAAATTACAGTTGTTCCGATACTCTCGCAAAAATAAGAGGAGGCCTGAGGCTTTGAGTGACTTAATATAACATAAGCAGTAATCGTACATTTACTTTTATTCCTAAACATGCTGGCATGCCAACCAACCGTAATATATTATAGCTCAATTATATCATCGTCGTCGTTAAAACTATCGCAAGTCCACTGTGGAACATACACCTTCCCTAAGGAACGCCAAATAATATAGTTTTAAGTCGTTCATCGGTCCTGCATTCACCGTGCTTTAGTTCTTTGGAGAGTTCCAGATCGACAGTCGGTATATCAAAATTCTGAAGTGTTTGTATAGCAAAGCTACAATGGATATCTGAGTAGAGAACTGTCCAACTATCCAACATGTCATAAGGAGTTTTGATATGAGTAAACACGACTGACATTGAAATTTAAAAGCTTTTTACAAGAAGACCGTATTGGCAATCTGTAAAGAGTCTCTTAGACAAAAGTTAAAAGAAATGAATATATTATTATCATAAGCCCCATAATATTTGTAAAAAGGTAATATATGTTCAACGTCACATCCCCGAAACTCTTCCTCCCTGTATTGGAGGACGTTTTCAAGCTACTGGACTGGAAAGGATACGGTATCAACATCCATGGCGGGATATCACTCTTATACGATTTGCTGGCGATATAGTTATTTTGTGTCCTAAAGTGATATGAAGTGTCCTTATTATCCGAAAAAGCGATAACAGACGAGGAATGAAGTTTCTTGAGCAGTAACTTCGTACCGGTAAGCGAAGAGCGTCCTAACACTAGATGGATTGACGAGCTTTTAAGATATGCAGGAAGTTGATAGATGCAGGGGGCTAAGGACCCTGTTTTGTGGCACTCTTTGGAGGAGCCCTATGTTCAACGGAGGACTTGTGAAGGGCTGTAATGATGATAATGATGATGACAGTCCTTATGATGAAATCGCTGGGGGACCTTAATATTACGCTTAACGACTTCAATAGTTTGTCTCAACGCAAATATCTTAAAATAAACATAGATATGATAAAGTTATGTTATGTTCATATAACACCTATTTCCGGTGGTTGTTAGGAACACTACGCTCAGAATAATCGATGAATATATTTACCTAGGACAAATTGTCTAACTTCGTAAATCCAACTTTATGGGAGATATATCTTTTCACAAGCTTTACATTAGCTTGATCTGTGTAGGTACGTATTTAGTATGTATGTACAAATGGAATTTCATAATTAAGTTTTTACCCATTTTTAGAAGTGTAAATAAATCGAAATTTTACACATGTATGAGAAACCGATACCAAAACAATTTTTTTAGTAAAATATTCACGTCTTTGACCTACTACTTTTACTAGAATCATTACAGCTTATGGTCAATGCGTATTATTTTTGTGAGTTTATTTAAACAAATTATTTTTTTGACAGAGCCATGCTGCAACTTTATTATGGTAGGTACATATGACAGAAATGGGTCAACAGGACCGAGGAAGGACCACACTTGTACAAAATATCAGCGTGAAATAGCAGCTTAATTCGTATGGTGAGTGTAGAGAACGTTTTTAATGGAAACAAGGCATTCCATCTTTGTCCTCAGGGGTAACAACGCATTTGCATTTTGACTCTTAACCGAGAATAGATGTAAGTTTTTATGGGCCACAGAATCCTGTGTGCTTGAATGTCATCCATAATCTATAAGCATCTATGGAACACAGTGAAGATACTTTTATTTAAATCTAGTATTAAATTTGACTGTACCTACTGCAAACAATTAATAAAAATTTTGAAAAAAAATTTTGATCAAATGTAAAAAAATATTTAAATAATTTACATCATTAAAATCAAACATTGAGCTGATCAAACATATTTTATTTAATGCATGGGAGAATTCACAGGATGATTTGTGTATATTCTGTGACCTATCCAACCCTTCGACCAAGGCCTTCGGTTGTATTCACCATGTTCACATTAATTGGGAAACTTCAACACTAGGTGTAGAAAGTGATGAAGTGATGAATATTACATATTTAAGTAATAGAAGGGAAAATAGAACGGAAGAGTATGAGTTCTTCCAGGTCGATAGTACAAATGAGCATGCCTCATGACTCAATTCTCGGACCCTTCTCTGTTTCTTGTATATATTAATTACTTACCTTATATAATAGGGCATAACCATTATATAGTATTATTTACTTCTTTAATTTTCAAATTAAAATGACCAATGATCTAAATTAGTAAATTAGTTTAAAGTTAATAATTTGCATTTAAATGGCATTGAAGCTAATTGTATAATATCCATAACCCCAAATATCAAACATTAAAATATTAATGTAATTTTAAATGGGGAGGAGCCGAGTTTTGTCGATACCACATTTTTTCTTAGAATCACACTAGATGCGAAGCTTCATAGCAAAGCTAAATTTATAAGCTCATATATCAAAACTAGCAAGCAGACTTAATTCTGCAGCATACGAGTAAACTGTAAAAAAGTTTAGAAAACTTACTAGTGTTGAAACAGCTAGACTGGTTACTTTAGCTATTTCCATAGCATAATGTCATATATTATTTTGCTATGTGGAACACGCGATGCAGATCGAAATTATATTTATTTATTTTACAGATGACTCTAAGAGCAATCTACAATTTAAACCCTAAAGAGTCGCTCAGACAAAAATTAAAGAAATTAATATGTTACCTTTATCCTCTCGATTACATTTACGAAAATTTAATGTATGTACAGAAAAATAAAATTACATTTAAAAAATTACTAATATAATAAATACAAAAGCTAGAAGTACCAGTTACCCGACTCTGCCGAGTCAGTAATTCATTCTTGGGGCAATGTATACGCTTTCAGAACAAAACCCCAGAAAATACAAAACTTGACCTCCTCAATGCTCAAAAATTTTATTAAACAATTTTTGTATAAAAAGGGGTTTTTATAATATTAAGGAATTTATGGATGATAATAACCCCTGGGAACGGGGTGATCGCTACCAAGCTATTTTATTTTATGTCTTTAATTGTGTAACTTATGTGATTGTAAACTGCTTGTTTTAATATTTAGCTTGGGTTCATGCTTATTCTTCCAGTGCAGTGGTTTTTTCTACACCAGTAATAAATTAAATATAAGAGTGAATTTCTATAGGTACTATTTATAATCTATATTTAAGAAAATAGTTTCTGTTTCCGTTTTTATAGAAAATCTATGGACAGTGCTAATGTAAATTCAGTTAAGCTAGGGCAATATCAATTTCGAGGCAAATGTAACTTGTTATCAAATCGATAACTATTCAGGATTTTTCTTTTACTAAAACGAGTTATAAATAAAGTCTGCAACGTGGAAAAAACCGGCCTGTAATTTGCATATTCGCAACTTATTTAATTTATTTCTAAATAGCGAACCGCTCAGGCTTCACTAGGATCTATTAAGGGATTATCAATTTAAGGTAAGTTTATTTTACAATCATTTACCATTGCCATTTTTTATTTTATCAAATTTGCGTTTTTTTTAAATACCCAAAAATTTTACAGATAAAATATAGTCAAGAATCTAGACTCTAGATCCCTCCTGCTCTCTATCTGTTCGTCGTCGATTCATCACAATAACCATTTCTAAGTTCAACTCGGATAGACAAATAGACAGACAAACAGATATTTTTAAAATGTGGTTATTTATGTTTTAATCGCATGCAAATAACCCTCTGTGATTTATAGAAGCCAGTTATTTTAATATTACAGAGGGACAGATCATATTTTTATATATATAGATAAATTGATGTATAAGTATTACGTACAAGCAAAATAACGAACCGGCTTAAACTTTCCAATGGAATGGAGTTCGAAAATGGAATTATAAATTTAGCAGTTCACAATCACAACTCTACTTAGTAGAGGCAAAAAACCTTCGCGGGAAACTCGTTCTAACTTTTCCTATTTTTCTGCGTTAATTTCACCTGAAACCATTACACTTTGCAACAATCCTTAGTGCGACCTTTCTATTAGGATATTTAAATTGTATTTTAAATGACTTTTCGAAACTTTCGAAGGGACCAAGGTGATGGTGTTTCAAAAAAAAATTGCTATAACTTTAGACCTTAAACATGTAATTTTATTAAATGACTTTTGGGTATTTAGCCTTTGGTATATTCTTATAAATTCTCAAAACAACTGACAACGTTGATAAGAAATTTATTAACTGGAAAAGCCATGCTTATGGTATAATTAAGCACGAATGTATCGGCTCGACCGGGGAAGGACCACACTCTCACAGAATACTGACGTATAATAGCAGCTCAATGCTGCTGTGTTTCATATGAACCGGATGGGTATCCGGTTCATATGAATACGAATTTTTACCGGAAACAAGGCATTTCATTTTATCCCTCACAGGTGACAACACATCTGCATTTTTATTCATAATCGAAAATAAATGTAGATGTCTATGGGCCACAACATCCACTTACCGTCACGTAGACTGTGTGCTCGTTTGTCGTCCTATTCTTTAAAAAATAGTTTCTGAAGTACTGACATCACCGTGTGTGCTGATTTTATTTAAATGACGGTAAGATTAATAAATATTAACAATAATTAAAATCGAAAATAACAAATTGGTTAAAATCTCGAAGATACGAAAAACTCGTCACAAAGTAGGCACTACACATACACAATTTATTATAGACAGATTAATATAATGATATCCGTGTATATTATGCAACATCAATGGATGTCATAATCATAACGTCATATACAAATAA